TTAATTTAACATTTATACATCAGCTCAACAACTCTACATGAACACTATAAACTTAACCAACCTTGCAACCTAAATCTTTAAAATTTCATGGCTTGCGATTGATTACAGGTTTGCTAAACCGTTACAACATGATATCTCTTTTGAAGAGCGTGCAAAAAAGAGTGGCCTGGCACTCATGGTGATGATTTGTCGCCCTAAGAGTGTAGGAGAAATCCGATTACGAACAACCAATCCTTTTGATCATCCTATTATTGATCCACAATATCTTTCACATCCTTCTGATGTCAGAACAATGATAGAGGTGAGAATTGATACTGCTGTTATGATACCATTTATTCACATTATATACAAATGTATTTATATCATTTCCATCCATCAATGAACATTATTTACATGTTATTCTTGCATTAAGGGTTGCAGGTTTTCTAAGAAAATGACTGAAACGAAGGCATTTAAAAAGTATGTATTGCAATGCATGTGCATTACATCCTATATTTTATTAGTTCGCATAGGCTATTCTAGTTTCACTAAATTGCCATTTAAGTGATATTGAATTCAACCAGTTAGTTTATGTGACCTGACTAATGCTTTTTAACTTTGAAGTGTTTTAAAATTATCCTGTGTCAGAAGTTGTAAACCGGTGAACATAATAAGCATGTGCTTTTTAACTTTGAAGTGTTTTCAAATTATCCTGTGTCAGAAGTTGTATCCTGAAGAACGTAATAAGCATATTACGTATCAAGGTTGTCATTTTTTATGTTGTCTAGGTATGGTGCTGAAGCAGAGTATTATAACTTTCCGAACTGCAGTCATCCATTTGATTCTGATGGATACTGGGAGTATGTTGTACGACACGCATCAACCTCAGTGTATCACACAGTTGGTACATGTAAGATGGGAGCAGTAAATGACCCTACAGCTGTAGTTGATTCATCATTAAGGTAAGGTTTAATGGGCAAGGGGTAATGTTTTAATTAGTTTAAGCACCCGGTTCATTGATTTGCTCTGTGCGTGTGCTATGGAAAGCCATGTAGAACACAAACCCATTGAGCGTTCGCTGTACTATCTTCGTGCATACTTTGAGGTATCTTCGTAATAACATCATATTATTATTTCTCATGACCATGACAGCCATTCAGGTTCTTTGGATTACAGGTCGACATATCCCTGTGTCGAACTGGAAACGATATGTGACAGTATTCATGAAATGATTAGTTTGCCAGGCTTGTAGCTGAGCACAGGGTGGCACAGGGTCTGTTTGTAAGATTTAGTTCTTTGTTGGGCTGAAGCGTGTTGGTAATGGCAGCAAAAATGAGCTGATAATAACTCTCTGTTCTGCTATATGTGGTTGAACAGTCAGGAAAACAAAGGGAATGGTGAGGTGGCTATGGTTTAATTGTTCTTCCAATACAGTAAAAAAAATTCTCAACATTGCTCAACTTCTGGAACCAGGTGTTTCGACAGTTTGGATGGGGACTCTTACAGCTGTTATCTCTATGTTGTATTGCCATGAACATGAACTTCTTACTGACTTGCATGTTGTGGTTGATATTTGTACATTGACTTGAAGGGTTTTCATTACATTGAGCAGCACATTTGTCCATGATTTGGAGTCGTTTTGCTATGTGGGTAATATCTGGGATCTAATGAATCACCACCCACATTCTCCACCTGAGATGAAATTAAACTTGTACAGCCAGAATAGTGACCTCGGTTTTGTGCATGGCCAGAACATTGTTTTTATATTATCAATTGTTAATTGGTCCATGCAGAGGATGTGCGTCATTGTCTAGTGGGGTAATTGAAAATATCTGTTTGGAATATGGATGATTTGAGGGCCCAGGGGCAATTTTAAAATAATGTGCAATTGAATGGCCAATGTCACCTTTCGCATATACTTTACACTTTACCTTTCATTCCACATTACCTCAAGAACTGTGATGGTAAACACGAATTAGGTCTGTCATCACTTGGCAAATCATTAGTAACGCATGTAAAACAAATTACTTTTACTTGCAAAAAAACAATAATTTAGATATTGTTGTGTTGCATTTTGTCCCTTGGTATGTTCATATTATATCATCACTTACATGACTTCACATGTGTGACGATAAACTAACCACTATGTGACAGTATTCACTACACACCATTTCGAGCTGTATGTTTTGGGCTGGTGTGGTAGTGCAACTACTAACAATGGCGCTTGCTTGAAACAGTTCGAAAATTGTCAAAGCATTTAGTTATGAGCCGACTATTTATTTTTGATACTATTATTTTACAAAAATCAATGTCTCCCAACATTTTTTAAAAATTGAACCTGCTAGAGTGTTTTCTTTTTGATAAATGAAGAACACTGTTTGAACAACAATGGAATCAATATTACAACAACTACTGTGTTTCCCGCAACACTGGAACTATGTTCTGTTTCTCATTTGTTATGTTCATACCTATTTGTATATATTACCTTCAACAAAACATAATGGATGTAGTATTAGAGGCAGATGCTCTGAAACCTTGAAAACTGTGACAAAGCCATCATATCAATCAGCCTCAAATACTCAACTCCACCCACAATATCCGAGTCATTGTTTTGGGTGCATAGTATCTACTCACTGTATATATCTACTCATTGAGTGTGCCTTACCTTGTAAGGCTTTTTTTTCGTGGTCTTGTTTGATATAATTAAATAAAACTAATTTGTACATATTATGTTATATATTACACAATGTGAATTTTGTTTTATATAATGGGACTAGCAGCTTTGCCAAAATTGTTATCATTTTGTTGCAGTGAAGAGGATTTGTGCTATAAATAGATTTAAGACGAGTATGAATAACAACTACGGTTAAATATCATAGTATAAAGAATGTTGTCAAATCGCACTCTGTGTGTTAGGTTTGTGCTTTTATGTCTGTTTTATGAGATAATCAGATTGGATGATTCAGGCCTACAACCGACTTACTCGATCATTTTGTTCTTGGTCCCATGAAACGTTCAGCTTGATATCTCCGATAACAAGAAGTGTATTGTCCTTTGTGATGGCTTTTTGAAC